CTTTAATTTCCTAAATATAAACTCGTATTTTTTAAGTTTAGTATAGAGTTTAATATTTTAAAGTTTTTAAAATACTTTATAAATATATTCTTTATATATTTTAAGATTAGGAGAGAAGATAAGGACGTTATTAATATAAATAATTATAAAATTATTTATATATTTTTTAAAAACGTAGTTTATTATTATTTAAAATATAGCGGGTATATTAGTAAGTCCGAAGAGTATAACTAAGTATTTAAAGAGTCCTTTACGTATTTAGAACGTTATTTTTTATTCGTTACTTTTTTTAATTTATACTTAGTTAAAAGCTTTTTTAAGATCTATTTTAGTAAATTATTAGGCTTTATATAATAAGTTTCTTAGTTTAATAATAAAGGGTAAAAGGTAATAGTTTTTTTTAATAATTGAGTTAAGTCTTTTATAATTAATTATAGGTTTTAATTTTTTTATTTTTTTTTTAAAAACGAAAAAGAGTAATATACTAGCGGGGGACGAGGAAGGTTTAATATATCCTTTTTCTAATTTTTTATTAATATACTTATTAAGTTCTTTTTGTTCTTATTTATTTATTAAGTATAGTAAATAGAATTTAGGTTACGTTCTTTTTTTAAGTTCGATTTTTATATTTTAATTATTGTATTTTAGAAGTTTTATAAAAAAAATTTAAAACAAATAGTTTTATATATTTTTAGTACTCTTTAAGTATAATTTAGAGTAGATTTAATCCTTAATTATCCGTACTGGGTACAATTATCCTAGTCGGCTCTATTTTTTAATATAAGCTAGGTACTTAGGTCGTTTTTATTTATTAAGTATTATATAAGACTTATTTAAACCCTTTCCTTTTTTAAGTCGTTTAGTAACTAGGTTTATTTATTAAAAATAGCTTATATTTTAATATATTTATAAATTATGTTTTTTTAATTATATAATTTTGAGAATTATATTTTAGTTTATTCTTATTTCTATAACGTTATAAATAATTTATTTTATTTAGTTATTAATATTTATTTAGAGGAGCGCAGTCTCTTAAAATATATATTCGTTATTATTTTAAATTGGTTTATTTTTAAACGTATAAAGAGGGTATAATAACCTTTTTATTTTTTATTTAATTCTAAATTTCTTTATTACTTAGGTTAATATATAGTTTATTTAGGTACTATTATTAATTATAATACGTATTTTATATTCTTAAATACTAATATTTAGTATATAATATTTAGAGTTATTTATATTAATTATTATAAGGGATTTGATTTTTTATTTTAATTTTTGTTATTTTTATTTAATTAGTATGTTTAGTTTTTTAGTTATTTAAGAGCCGGTACTTATCCTTTTTAAACGAGTTATTTATAGTTTTTTTTTAAGTTCTTTTACTTCTATCTTTTTATAATAAAATATAGGGCGTTAATAATATCTTAGATATATATTTTTTTTTGGGTGGGTTCTCTCCCTCTAAGAAACGATTTATAGTCCTTAAGTACCCTAATATTAGTTTAGGGCCCTAGAATATGTTAGTTATATAGGTAATCTTATAAGCTAATAATAAGGTTATTTAAGTTTCTTTAGAACGAGCTAGTTCTTAGTTATTCTTCTTAAGCTTTTTTTTATAAAAGTTATTATTTTTATAATTTAAGTACGGAGTAGATTTTATATTCGTTTTATTAGTACGTTTTCTAATCCTTTTTAATATTATTAAGGTATTTTATAGGGTAGTACGGGTTTGGGGAGAAGGTAATGTAGTCGTTATTATTTATATCCGTAATTTAAAATAATAGGTTTATATTTAAGTAAGCTTTAAGGATTAGTTTATTAGAGAACTGTTATAAGTAGTATTAGTTATTGTTTTTTTAATAGAAGTGGTAGTAGTAATCGTTAATTAGGTATTTTATTTAAAAGATATTATTATATTAATTATAGAATAGAGTTAACTTAGGGTTATCTTAGGTTATTAGTAGTGTTTCTATGTTTTTAATATAGTTATTTATTCTTTTAAAAAGAACGAATTAGTTATTTTATAAGGGGTAAAAATTTTTTTATTTAAGTTATTCTATAATTTAGTTTTCTTTTTTAAACTCGGAGTTATTTACTCTAAATATATTTTTATTAATAATTTTTATCTAAATATATTATTAATTAATATTGCGAGGTTTGTTCGCGTCGTAGGACGATTTTTAGCTTATAAACTAGTTTAAAATTTTTTTTAGAATATTTTAGTCTTAAAGGGGTTCTTTATTTATTTATTTTTTTTAGGTATTATAATAATTTTATTAATTTATTTAAAGTTTATTTTATTGTTTGTTATAATTAGCTAGATATTCGATAGTAATGGGGTAATATTATTATTTTTAATAGCGTTTTTTAGTTACTCGTTTACTTTGTAAAAGAGTTTAGTATTAGGAGCTTAGAATATTATAACTAGGGTTTTAGTATTCTTTTTATTATTTTAAATCCATATTATAACGAGTATTTTAGGCTTTTTTAAATATTAGTTAGCTATTTTTTTATTATTTTAATAGATAATATAATTATTATTAAAGTAGCCGGTTTATAAGAGTTATTTATAGGGTACTTCTATATCTATATTAGGGGTTCTTTTAATAGTTATATTAATAGTTTTAGCTTTTTTTTAGAGCTTTTTAGGTTATTTATAGTCTCGGGCTATATATCCTAGCTTATTATAATTATAGTATTTAAAGTCCTTTTTAAGTAGTTCCTTAATAGTAGTGCTAAGATTTATAGGGCTACTGTGCTGTCCGTAGGACTTTGATTATCTAGGTTATTATTAATTATTTTTTAGATAATTCTATTCTTAAGAGTGCGGCTAGTATTGTTTATTAGTATTTGTTTATGGAGTATATTTTTCTTTTTATTTATAGAGTTTATTATTAAGCTTAATAGCGAGTTTAACGTATTTAAAAAAGTTAACGGGCCGGTTTTATTTAGATAGTTTATTTTTAACTTTTTTTTAAAATCTTTTATAGAATATAAAGATTTTAATATTATTAGAGTAGTTAAGTTTAGTACTAATATATCTAAACTTAGTAATATATATTAATATAGCTCCTTTTTATTAGAGATTTAAGAGTTTTTATTTATATTATTATTCTTTATCTAGTTCTTAGAATAAGGATAGGAGAGTACTTTTAAATTTATATAAGCTTTTAAAAATATCCTAGGTTTCTTACTTAAGGTCGTTCTAATTACTTATAATTATAAAATTAATAAGGTATAGTTTGAATTACGTAAGAGCCTTTTCTTTAAAAAAGGAAGCGGTATAGATAACCTTTTTTACTTCGTTTTTAAAGTTTATTTTATAAAAGCGTTAGTATATTTTAATTTAAATAAGGAATCCCTTAAGCTATTTTAAGGTTTTATTAAAAGCTTAGGGCGAGTTAAGCTTAAGCTTTTTTTATCCGTTATATAAAGTATTAATAATATTAATAGTAGTATAGAGAGTATTAACTTTTTTGCTAAAGTAGTCTGCCTCTTTAGTTTTATTTTAGAGCCGTCCCAAGGCCTTATTAAGTATTTATTATATATTAATAATATTAGAGTCGTTTTTCTTAAAAAAATTTTAGAGGCTTTTATAGACTCTCTATATAAAGTTTAACTCGTCTTCTAATTTTTTAACGTCCTTTATTTTTTTATTTAGGGTTTTAGTTAGTACGGGAGCTTTTCTCTTATTAGTGGAGGAAGTGGACGGGGTATTTTAAAAAGATATTGTTATTTTTATTATTTGTTAGTTTTTTAAAAAATAAACTTATTAAATAGGAGCTATTAAAATATTATAACTAGTTAATTATAATAAAATAAGTTCGTAAAAGTTTAGGCTACGAAGACTAAGTAATAATAAAAAGGGTTATTAAATAGTTTTTAAAAAAATTATATTTATAAGTTATAAAATAAAGCTTAATAATTAATTAAGGTTTTATTAAAGGGGTTCTTAATAAAAATAATTAAAAATAATTATAAAGTTTAATACAAAGTTAATAATTAAAAAAGCTATAAAAAGTTTATTTTTAAGCTTAGTTTAAAATTATATTATATATAAATCCTAATTTTAAATATATTTTTTATTTATATATTTATTTAATAAGCCCTATATATTAAATATATAAAGTCCATATTTTTAAAAAACGGAACTTATATTCTTACTATATAAGTTCTTTTTATTTTATTATTATATAACTTATTTTATAGTTTTTTTATTTTATAAAATAATATATATATTTTATAATTTTATATATATATAGTATATTATAGTTATTATTAGCCTATGGGGTAGGCTCTGGTCTTAGTTATGTATGTTAGGTTATAATATAAGAGCGGCGGTGCTGACTAACCAGGTCTGATGCTGGTCTACCTTTGGTATGGAGTACGGAGTAGTTGCGTGCTATTCTATCCATGCCCGTGCATGAGGCACCTGCGTTCCCTGCCTCCAACGCTCTCCTTAGGTACACCTAACCTTAGCCTGACTGCCTACCAATTACCTAACCCTGTCTGGCCTTGCCTTCCTCTGTGTGTGCCTCATCCTCTCAACCTTACCTGGTTTATTGTTCACAACCTCCACCCTGACTGAGTCCGCACATTTATTCCCTTGACTACGAAGCATCTGCCAAAGTTTGAAGTTCGCGCCACCACGAAACCACGACGGCACAGTTTGCGAGCCTCAGTACCCAATTTGAATTTGCGATCAAGTCCTCCAACGGCCTTGCGCACAAGAGCCCAAAGCCTGAATCGCCCACCCCCCCCGCGAAGTTGACATCCTCGATCCGCCGCAGCCCGCCGCTCACACATCAGCACTCCGACGAATTGCCGCAGCCCATCATCGTTCCTCTTGCTTCAGTGCAAGTCGGAAGAGATTCCTCGTTAGGAAATTGCGATAGAAATACTCGGCTGCGATTAGTGCAGTGGCTTCCCTCGTTCAACCCTACATATATTTTTCTCGAGAACATACTCCGTAAGGCACACGGATCTGGGACTCGAAGATGATGCCCGCTCAGCACGTTTACGGACACCATCAGTTTAATCCACAGACTGACTCGGCATGGATGCATCAGCAGTCTAATCAACACCACCATGCTCAGCAAGCTGCTGTCGCCGCCGCCTCTGCCGTACAGCAGCAGCAGCAGCAGCAGCAGCAGCAGCAACAACAACAGCAACAGCAACAGCAGCAACAACAGCAGCAGCAGCAGCACTACAATAGACTTGCTAGCGGGCATTCTGCGGTTCCGTCTCTTGGCAATGCGCATGCCCCGGAAGGCGGCCACGACAATATATCCGAGGACAATCGAAGAACGATGGCTTACATTGCTGATCTGCTGAGCGAGAGCACCCGTGAGGCGGCCCTTCTAGAGCTGAGCAAGAAGCGAGAACAGGTTCCCGAGCTTGCGCTCATATTGTGGCATTCGTTCGGTAAGCTTTTATCCCTGGAGGCCAGTGTGATTGATGCATACTAAACCCACGTAGGAGTCATGACATCGCTGCTGCAGGAGATCATCTCGGTCTACACTCTCTTGAACCCTTCACAACTCACTGCTGCGGCCTCCAACAGGGTATGCAACGCGCTAGCACTTCTTCAGTGTGTTGCCTCCCACAATGATACGCGCACGTTGTTTCTGAATGGTACGCCGTCCAGATGATCCCCTAAAACGCTACTTGTCCATGAGCTCACATTCACCAGCCCATATCCCTTTATTCCTGTATCCCTTCCTCAACACGACTTCGAAGTCGAGACCGTTCGAATACCTACGTCTGACGTCGCTAGGCGTTATTGGCGCCCTCGTCAAGAACGATTCATCCGAGGTCATCAACTTTCTGCTCACTACAGAGATCATTCCTCTTTGCCTACGTATTATGGAGACAGGCTCAGAGCTGAGCAAGACTGTGGCGATTTTCATTGTGCAAAAGATCTTGTTGGACGACAATGGGCTCAACTACATTTGCGCCACCTACGAACGCTTTTACGCGGTGGGCACTGTCCTCAGCAACATGGTTGCTCAACTCGTCGAGCAGCAAACAGCTCGGCTTCTCAAGCACGTTGTCAGATGCTTTCTCCGGTGGGTTCCCCGAGATGGGTCGATCATTCTAGCCTCTCGCTAATGCCGCATAGACTGAGCGACAACGCGCGCGCGCGTGAGGCCTTGCGCCAGTGCCTTCCAGAGCCTCTCCGAGATGCAACCTTTTCTTCGGTCCTTAGAGACGACGCTGCGACCAAGAGATGTTTGGCCCAGCTCCTTATAAACCTGTCAGACAATGTCGTCGAACCGGCCCAAGGGGGGCATCCTGGCCTTTGAGGCCAAGGATACCTGACATATTGTAAACGTTCTGGGGCCAACATAGACTCATGCATAACTCGGCGACTTGGAGGTCAGTGATTTCATCGGAAAACGCAAAGCATCGTAGACGTATTGATACCCGCTTTCTCTGCCCAGATGGGGGCATATCAGGCTGATCTGGGATGCATCTTCAACTTGCGCGGACTCTCTTTTTCTCTTCCTCTCTTCATATGTAGCATCGAAAAGGCGGGGGGCAAAAGCAAGGGTTTCTTTTCTCGTTCGGTGTTGGCGATGGGGTTGTGTCATTTTGATTATACGGTAAGGAGCAGGCGGACCTGGAACTGGCGCCGGAGGCTGGGGATGACGTCTCGGGCTTTATGGACACGGCCCAAAGATTTCTGTTGCTAGCATACTTCCTTTCCGGGGTCGCGCATGGTAGTATTGGCTTCAGTCGGGTGGTATATTTGTATGAAATGTTCTTCTTGGTGGTGTGGGCTGTCATGCTATATGGCTCGACCTACCCGGTGTATGTGTAAAGGGTCAGGTCCATGAATCCAATTTCTCCAACTCATCACCTGTTCCCCAACAATGCTTTCCAATGCTCTCCGGCTGGTCAAGTCAATGATGTACGCTTCAGATAAGACGATGTCCCCGCGAGGTGTTTCCTAGCCATCTAGCTCAATTCATTGCGGGATAGCATGATAGCTTTGCCAGGGAGAGGGAGAGGGAGAGGTAACATGCAGTGAATCACAGATCCAGGCACTCGTAGTTGACTTTGGATACATGATGAAGGCTTTCTGGCCGTAACCACATACAGTTCTGCTCGTTGTTCCATGAATCTTGGCAATTCGGTGCAGCGCGACTCACATCGGTGCCTGCAAAGGTCAAGTCGTCGCTCCCTCAAGATAGAGAAGGCGCGTTAAGGTAAGGAAGGCACTCCGTCAAGGTAGGTAATTTTAATACCTTCTCTCTTCCCTTCTTCTCCTCTCTCTTCTTTTCCCCCTTCTTTCAACCTCGCAACCTTGCAAACTCACAAGCAAATCTTCACCATAACACCTTTTTGGTCATTCACATCACGTTCCAGCATTCAAATTATGTTAACGTTTCCCACAGCCCCTATGGCCCCTTTGGAAGATTTTCTTGAGCTCAAAACCAATACTAGTATTGAGTTCGCTACTCTCCGAAAGGCCCTCGAAACGTTTTACGAGCAGCATCAACGAGATACCAAGAACGTTCAGACTCTGTGCGATATGATCCCAACGTTGCGGGAGACAGTCAACAAACTCAGCTGAGATATCCATCAATACAAGTTGTAAATCACTTAGCATCTATCAAGTTCGTGTCCCCTCCAAACATTTATCAGAAAATGTCCACTCATAACAACATGCAGCAAAACAAACGACATAAAGCGCAAGGCAAACTTCGATACAGTAAAATATTTCATACACCGATAAATCCCACCACCAACCTCGATATAACTGGTTTCCCGTACAACGATGCTGACCTATGGTCCATCAAGCGTAAGCTTTCTCTGTCGGCTTCTTTCGCAGCCCTCTCTGCTAACGTAATGGCTGAAGCATCGGTAGGATGTGTCTAACGTTAGGCAACATCAGTGGCCGTGATCACAAACAATTTCCCTTCTAACTGCATGCCTCGGAGCTGGCGTTGCCTTGGTATTTACTGCGGATGCCGCTGGAAATGACGCGCCAAAGGCGAAAGGTCTCTATATAAGGAAAATATACAGCCTCTAATAAACTTGTCCTTATTACTAAAGCTACCCGTCACCAGTCTACTGTACCTCCCAGTATACATGAACAGAAGCCCGGGATAATAAAACTAAAAAAGACCGCAAAGACAGCAAAAATAGCAAAGACAAGAAGGATAATAGAAGCAATGAGGACAGTAGGGATAAGAGGGTTAGTTTCACAACCTGACCAACGTTACTCGTCGCGACTGCGTGTGTTCAAGTTCTCGAATCGACACGGGTCTAGCTACATAACCGCGGATTTTCTTGTCCCTTTACTGATACACGTTTTGAGACATCTAGTGGTTCATACTCAATGGCATCTGAAGTCAACGGATGAGCTCAATCAGGCCGGTGGCTGATTGGCAACACGGGTGGGGTATCACAACGAGTCTGGTCTTGCTCTCGGAAGGTATCGAATAATGACCAGCCTCTCAACTTCTTCATACGGAGTCAATCAGTGAGATCCGACGAACATGGCGAAGGACCAATATGCGGCCGGGGCCAAGTATTAGTAGTTGGAGTTATCGTATATATCCGAGAGTTTACTACATTCGACACTACATCATATCAATATTAAGAATGGAGTCACCCTTCCTTCTCCGTCTTCAAATCCACCCTTTGTAATGCAAGGCGCACCATATATGGCCCGGCAAGAGTTTCTATGGGAACATTCCATAGTGATCAAGCATCCGACGACTAAAGAAAGCATGGAAACTTCGTCCCAGCAGCTTGATCCGCGGCTGGGCTCGACAAACCAGCACCGCTGTGCATAGAACTTTCGCATGTGTCCTCCAGCATCAGCAGGTGACAGGAGCAGTTGGGTCTCACTTGATGTTTCCAGCATACAGTCGTTCTGTTCAACTTGGGGTTTGAGGGGAAAGATCCTTACTCATTCCGATTACTTCGCCTGGGAAGTGTGTATATGAAGGCTTTGTTAAAGCGGCCTGGTCCGTCGTTGGGCTTGGTTAGTTCGACAACGCTGTGTACTCGAGCTTTGCGTATATTATGAAGATCATACGTAATCCCAGCATCCGCAGGTATTACTTACGTTTGTATGTTCATTTGCGTGTCTAACATCCAGTGTATCAAGTTGGAGTTTCAGTGAAGGGACAATGAATACTTTCTTGGCAGTCACTTTGATTGGAACTTGGAAACAAGAATTTAGCGATCAGAAGGAGCTTCGAGGAGGTAGACGAGAACCAGAAAACGAATACCCCGTATCTATGAATGTTCATCCACTGGCGAATAGGATGACTCCACTAGATAGATACTTGATTGGGGCCACATGATCCTTACACTTCTCGGACAAATGCTGGCTCCTCGGAGGAAGAATGGAGGATTCCGTCAGCCCTACGGCCCTACGGCCCAACGTGTTCCCAATAGGGTTCTGAGGTAACCCGGCCACCAAAGACGTGCTCCGGGAAACCGGGTCTTCTAATCACATGGTCCGAGCCGCTTACCTCTCCCAGAAACGTGAGTGGGCACTTGGTAGCGGAAACAAGACCTTCACAGAGGTAGCTCTCTAGGGGTGAAAGATCAATATATCGCGTATTATCTAACCATGACAACAAGTCTGAGATTCAAGATGCTACATATCACGGCAAAACGCCAGCAACTAAAGTTCTTTACGCCGGCAGAACTGTCCCCACGGTCCAGGTCTCCTTCGTTGAGAAGTCATGCAAGTCTCAAGAAGTATCAGACTCCAAATCGCAGTGTTCGATGAGCAGTCATGCGGAGATAGCCGGGAGGGCATGTCTGTATTCCTGCCTGCCCCAGTTGGGACTGTACAACGCAGCAGAGCCGGAACCAGAGTATACCCTTCCAAGGCAAAGCGGGAGATGAGGCTTGACGAATGGCTCTCAGTCAACCAGACAAGTCCAGCATACTCTCGAAGCATGGTAGATGCCTTCATTTCTTACATGAGGTCTAGAATACACCTGTTGGCACGGATAGGCCGAAGGGGCCATGTGAAGCGAAGAGTGTGTGGAGTTTCGTTCGGGGGCCTCGGGGCCTTTTGTGAGCCAAGCTCCCATTGGAGGCGAGTACGAAGACGCTATAGAATTTCGGCGGAAGGATTGATCATCCCCGTTACCACAGGGCATCGTGGGCATGTCTGGGCCAGCGCGCGCGAGTGTGAAGTTAGAGAGAGCAAGGGGTAGAGTGAAGGAGCCAACCCTTCGACATCCAGAAACACAGACAAAGTCTCTGAGCTTGAGTGGAAGGCTAGTCAGAGGCTTACAAATTCAGCCTTAAAATACACTTCCAATCATCGGCCGGAGCCTGGCGCTCCTCCACGCGGGCCATGTTGGGCTCATAACTGATGGCCAATTCGAAATGGATGCATATTTTCCAACCCCAAGGCAGTTATGACTGATTCGTCGCCACGTACGGAGGAAGGCAGTCTGTTTCGTGTATTCAGGATTGCTCGAGGGTAAAGTAGACGAGGCTCGCGCGGAGATGGTTGTGGCAGCGGCAGCGGCAGGGACGATGGGCCTGCAGCTACCTACCCTGGGGTGATGTAAACTACGCCGCACTTCCGTCGTGAATTCAAGACATTGCCAACTCGTGCCTGCGTATTGGGGTCCAAAATGGACGGACCACGAGAACGTGTGACACAAGATGGGAGTAAAGCTAAGGATGGCGGACGCTATTTGCCAGCCCTACGAGCTTGCGTCTCATTTTGCGTGACAAATCCAACGGGCCCGGCTCAATTTCGTCCTCGTCGAATGACCAGAGGAGGAGACGATGCCTTGTGTCCCGCCTCAAGTCTGCTGCCTGATATGCGTAAGGCGGCTACGTCGTTCATTGGGCTGCATTGTAGCAAGAGGCAAAATGTAGATGCACCTCGAGTTCTCCAGACACTAATGTTGTAGTGAGTGTCTTGCTATACAAGGAGCAACTATGAATCATTCCGGCAAAGAGCCTACTCATGAGTCAATCACATGCCTTTTCTGAGGAAACGGAATATTGTCTACTGAATTGAGGAAACATGGTAAGTACTCGGTAGATGGATTCAAGGTCAACTAGAGGTTTGAGTGGGTGGTGTAGTTGACCGTGAGACAAGTGTCTGTAGTCAGTCGATATGGAGCTCGACGAGCTAGTACGAAAACGGACACCGTTCTGTCGTGTTGTACAAAACGGTAAGGGGCTCCAAGATTCTGAGGAAGGCGCAGTGCAGGTGCAGGTTCACTTGCAGTTGCAGGTAGGTAGTGCACCGTGCAGGTAAGGTGCAGAGCGGGTGCGGGTGAGGTACGTATTGGATCCATACCTA